AAAAAAAAAAAAACACCAACCAGTAGAACTAGTGAGATGAGATGTGAGAACAGAAATATTGTCATTAGAGTGTCAGGATATTATTTCTTAGTGCTTCATCATTTGGACAGTTCATCCCAAAAATTGAAATACTATCATCGGCTCTTTTCCATACAGTGAAAATGGATAGGAACTGGGACTGTCAAGCTCCTAAAAGGACATTAAAGCAACATAAAAGTAGTTCATATGACTTACGTGCAATATTCCAAATCCTGAAAGGTCATACGATAGCTTTGTGTGAGGAACAAACTGAAATGTAAGCCTTTTGTTTTGTTTTCCACAGAAAGAAAATATTCTGCGATAGAGTGATAAACGTATTATCTATATTATGAAATATAGTTAATATGCTGTTAAGTCTATATATATTTTTATTGAAGTTCAGCTATGAAATAAAGATGTTGATGTGAAGCAATAACTTGTTTTAATGACTTTAATCAATGAGTTAAGTCTATTTGCCTTTTAAGTTATCTGTACTTTAAAATGTATGTTAATTCAATGGGAATAAACGGTTGTAGTATTATTTATATATTATTATGGTTTAATATTTTGATTTAGTTTATTTTAATTTAATTAATTTCAAGTAATTATTTCTATTAAAAATGGGATGTGGTTTTGTCTTTTTTTTATATTACTATTTAGATTTAATTTACTTTTAGTTTTTGTTTATTTCCAGTTAGTCGTTTTAGTGCTTTAACTTAAATGTATTTAAATTAGTTGCCAACTCATTCTTTTTATTTCAGCTTTATTTCAATTCAAATATATGTTTATAATAGTAGATTTAGCCATCTATAATAACCTGAGGGAATGAGTTTCCTCAAATGAGTTGAGCGGATTTAACTTATTAGGATTTATAATGTTAGTTTTTTGGTAAAATATTACTGTAGATAGCCTTCAAAGGTCGCATACACTGCATGCATAAATAAAGGAAGGGCTTTGAAAAGAATCAAAAGGAGAACTAAAAATGACTACTGCTTTAAACAAGGAAGTTATGATAGGTTGCTTATAATGATAAGTTGTTTCAGAACTCACTGATGTGGTCTATTGTTCCAGCACAGAACTTTCCATAAAACTTCTTGGCTCCTAAGGCCCTGAGGTCATGAATGGTGTAGGGCCAGAGATGTAGGACGTTGTTCCTGGAGAATGTATCTCTCTTCTCTATCACCACCACTTTGGCTCCGAGGAAAGCTAACTCGATGGCAGTCCGCAAGCCGCAGGGGCCCCCTCCAATTATCAAGCACTGAAAGTTACAATCAGAAATTGTTTTTTTTT